GTTTGGAAGAAGGTAATCAATATTTTTCATAAATGCAACCTTTAAATTATTTTTCTCAAATGTTATAAGGACCTTTTATAGTAAGGCAAGTAATAAACACAGATGCAGTTTCTGTTTCAGATGCATTGCCTTAATCAGGCCTGGCCGTTTGAGGCGAGCGATAGCTCGCGCTCGCCTCCACGCTCCCCTCGCAACCTGAGGCGAGCTATGAATTGCTCTCCTAAACAGAACATGAAGGGAGAATCGCTCCCCTAAAATTTCCATTCATTTGCCCTTTTCCTATTCAGAGAACCCTGAAAACGGGTTAATTGGCTTATTTTGTAACAGCGATTTCTCCCGTCACTGCATTTTTTGCAATTAACTTTTTGCTTGTTGGGCGGTTTTTGTTATGATAGGCATAAACTTCGATCTATTTGGAAAAGGATAGTTAACCGAAAGGTACGTTTGTAGCGATTAGAACCTTTCAATCTTAAGAAAACAGGAATATTTTTGGAAGGAAAGTCGAAGAAATGGGTAGGAATTGTAGATTGGGGATATAATAAGACAGCAGGTCCCTTCCAGCAATAGAAACAAAACTATCCCTCAAAGAGAACAGGGTACTCTGTCTTGCAGATCAAAAACGACAACCAAAACATGGAATTCCACTATCCAGCAGCATTTACTGAAAAACCCAGATTGGGTGAAAAACTATAACGGCGACATGTTTCGCATTATTGGCAAAGCCTGATCATCGTTCCATCTATGTAGCAGTTTGTGAATCTATCTACTATATAAACATGACCGACTGCTTTTGTGTAGACATAAGTGAGTTCGTTTTCACCTTAGGACTCCGTTGGTAACATTTTCAATAGGAAAGGGGCACTTATTGGAAAACCTCAACAGTCATGTCCTCGCGTTTTCTGATGGCCTATTTCGATCCAAAACTGGGTATTTTAGCGTAGAGTTTTCCTTCTATGTTCTGACGTTTTATTCTCTGAAGAGTGCTAGACGTATAATTAAGTTTGTTTCAAAATTTGTTTTTTAAAGCCATTTTCAAATTCGGTGCAACAAAAAGATTGTTTTGCAAGAGAATTGTTGTTTTTTGTGTTGTACCAGCTTTACATAAAACGGAGAGAGTCTGTTCTTTCAAATACTTCAAGTAAAGGGGGTGCCTTAGTCACGGTTAAAGCAAATACAAATTGAAAGAAGTAAAACATAACACTCCTGACTGAGGCAATTACATTAAGGCAACCGACAGATACTAAAGGGGCTTATTAAGTCATCTGTCGATTGTCTTCAAAGTGCATTCTATGTGTTACTGATTTAGCTCGCCTCAGCAAATGAGGGGAGCGATTCACAGCTCACCTATAAAAATACAAACGGCCAGGCCTGCATTTTGGGCATCATATCAAAATACTTAAACAAGCACAACTGTGAATTATATGTATAATAGCTGTTTATAAATTTTATACATGTAGAATCAGGGGATATCTGGAATTAATGAGCAAATATAAAACCTGGATATATGGATGTATACAATGTTTATTTAACAGTATCGCGTGTGCACATCAGCTGACTTTCAGAGAAGTCATAATTCTGATTAGTATGTTATAAAGGCAACTGATTAATTTTCAGTTTAAATGTTGTGACCTCAGTGATTTTCAAAAATACATTTTAACATTTTGATATAGCTTTCTCAAACTCTGTTCTGAGTTTATTGTTTGTATGTTGCTTTTTGATAAACTTTCTTCAAACAATCCCCTTCCCCCAGAAGAGCTTACAGATGATGACTGACATCGAGACTTTTTTCAAGTCAGAGATGCTTTTTATGTTCTGCTGAAGGGGCATTGAGGTTAACAAATTCTAGAAGGGACCAAAAAGACCAATTTTCTGAAAGGGTACCAAAAATACCAAAGTATTGGAGCAGGGCTATTGTTTTAAGAAACTTTTCTCTTGAACTTCTGATGAATTAAAGGGCCTCCCATAAGTATTTTCAAAAAGCAAAAGCAAGTAATTTTAAACAAATAAAGAAATATAAGACAGATATGGAGAAACTTGTACATATGGCAAAGTTTAGGTCTATGGATGATGCAGCAATGATATGGATGATTCTGTAAATCCTCAAATTGGCCCCCCTTGAAAAAGCAAACCCCTCCTCAAAAAGCCCCCACCCTATAACTACAACTTATCAACAACCCCCCCTCAAATAAACCTCTACTATTACTGTAAATCATCGAATTGGCCCCCTCAATTTGTTGATTTTTGCTTGCCTTTGACCTTTTATTGAATTACCACAAAAGTTCATACTTTCGGTAATAATTAATTAAATGTTCATAAAGAAATTCATACTTAAATATACAAGGTCTTTTGATAATGTCTTCTTAATGTCCACTATGATTTTATAAGCCCCTCTTGTTTATATAAAAAATAAAAAAGCCCTAGAACAGGCTAATTTGAGGATTTACAGTAAAATATTTTTGGGTCGTTATAACATCCTTTTTTTGACAAGTTGTTTTACATAGTTGAAATCACAAGCCAATAATATTAGTTTCTTAACTAATCATCTGTTGTTGACGAGGCTAAGGGTACTGATTATGACTTATCATATACATGTCAGTGAAAAAATAACAGCTTATCAAAATAAAGAGATATGGCTGAATTTTAATACTGAAGTGGTATGAAGTGGTAAAAAATATAATATGGAAGGACACCTGCTACTTGTTCTACAGTATATAATCAGTGGTCTGATCAATATATAAATTAAAAATTACATAATTTTGCTAACTTAAGACAGGAAATTACAGATTCACATGAAGATAATAGCAGAAAAACATAATACCATTTTAAAATTCAACAAAACATTAAGAAAAACAACAAATAATAATTATATTTTAGCATTTACCAGATTTTCTTAACTATTTGTTGAAACTGAAATATATCGATTTTAGAAAAGCATAGTATTTAAAGCATTAAAAAAAGCTGATGGAAAGATGTGTGGTTCTGCCATATTATTACAAAGAAAGACTTATTTAACAAAACATAAACATTATGTAACTGCAATCAACTAGCAAGGGTGAAAACAACATTCCTAAAAATGGGCGGCAAAATGTCAACACGTTTGTTCCTTAACATTAATTTACTATTCAAAGGTAAATTAATTTACTATCCAAAGTTGACTACCGAAAGTAATTATGGCTACAACTGTTTGTTATTGATACCAACTGTTGATATATTGATACCGGCCGGGAAAAATAGGACAAGCATCGTCAAGACTTTAATGACTGTTTACTGCAATGTCGCACCGTGACATTATGCACGAACATTTAAGATCGGTTTTTTGGCGAGAGGCGGTGACTATTGAATGAACAGAATTGACATCGCGTGCGATAGCGGTGTGTTATTACAATCGGTAAGACAACAACTTGGTTATGGCCTAAGAAAAAGGAATGGCATTCACGAGGATAAACAGTCTGAAATGATAAGATTTTCCATCTCACCTGTCATAGCTCTGAAGAAGCTCTTGCTCCTGGTTGTTTAAAGATTCAACCTACAAATTAAAAACAGAATTACTAGAATCGCAGTATAGGAAATCGATTTCACAATTAAAATAGGCGATGTGACTGTGAAAATTCTAGGTAGGTTTAAAAGACATCAAAACATGATGTAATTCTCACCATGACTTCCACTGTAGCAGAGTCCAAGTCCCCTTAAGAACGCTATGAGTGTTCCTGTATATTTTTCCCATCTGTCACCTGAAATATGAATGCAGCTTTCTTCGTAACTGTCAAATACAAGCGGCAAACACTTGGATACATAAGCATTAGGCAGCCATTTTCTTTGTCCGGCACGCTCGATCTACAATCAAGTGTACACAAAAGCAAGCCAACTTTACATGGTCAAGTCTCTTATTATCTTGCAACCAATCAAAGTTCCTCAAAATATCATGTGACCGCACGGGCCTCTTGGAGGGCTGTGACACTTTGAATGCCACCCTTAATCTGGTGCTCCGCAGAGGTACCAACAGCAGAGAAACACCTGTTTGTTTCATTTTTCAAAGACACATGTCTGGAACAGGTAAGAAACACGGGCATTTTACACTTTTTCTTGTGGTTGCAGCTTTCATTTTGGCCTCACAAACTACAAAACTTTCTCATTACCAAAGACTATTCACGCCGCGAGCACCCCATGAAAAACTGTTAACATCCAGTATCCCACAACTGCTCTTTTAACAACTACTGAATAAACGTTGCCAAGCGACGAAACCACATAATACGTTTCGGAAATCAAATCATTATATAGATAAATGTAAATTAATCTTCATTATATTCCTCGAAAGTCTCAAATATAGAGCCAAGCCTTGAACAATTTTATAATGTTAATCTCACTGCCATTTTTTTGTTCGTTTTCTCATTTCAGAATTATGCAAATATAATTTAGAAACCAAAAAAGGAAATGTAATTCAAATAGTGCATTCTAAATTGGTATTTTGAATCTGGTATACAACTGGAATTTTCAAATTTACATTTGAAACTAGGGTAAATCTTAACCCCTATTCACAATGGTGGTTTTAAGCGGGGTCCAGGGGGCCATGGTCCCAGACCCCGCACTTATTGTAGCCAAAGGGGGCCCCACACCTAAGAGAAAAGATATAAATTGTAAAGAACAGGGCCCCGCAGATGCTTGGGCTCCGGGCCCCGTTGTCCCTAAAACTGCTGTTGCCTATACATTCACTGAAACTCAAATAATTATTTTCACAGATTGGCTTTTTCTAAAACTATGCAAAATGACCAGATTGGGTAATCGGGATTTTGTTCATCTTAATTGTTGGGCTCCTTCATTGTTCTTTTTGTAAATGATTAATGCAGGGATAATTTTCTACCTCTATTTTTCAAATTGTCTTCTAAAGTTCTTCAGACGAATCCCCAGCAAATGAGTAGGCTGATCTAACAGGATAATTCTTATATTGTGTAACCTCGCTTTCATATCTGTCTCATTTTTCTAAAAAGGTTAATTTAATGATAAGGGATAGTGGCAAAACATTCAGCCACTTTTATTATGTTGCAATGATCCACGGGCTTTTAGGTTTGGCTGGTAGGATAGGTGGAAAACTGCAAGTCACTGCATCAAACTACGGTTTTGGTAACCTTTTAGACACTTCAATACCAAGTGGGCTTGAAATATTGATGAAAAGTTGCTAAGAAGTTGGAACGATCTTTGATAATGTCTTGGTGGTTGGAATTCAGTTTAGAAGAACGGGTAACTAAATAGTTGCCTTGAAGCAAATGGGATTAGCAGAATCATAACATTATGCATATACTTGTCAGCTACCAAATTTTGTGATGATCAACCAAGTACAATGAGAGAAAATACCAACTTATTTTATTCCCGTTCAAACAAATACTCCACGAATTAGGCAAGTTTTGCCAATATCTGCACACATTTCTTCCTCCAAAATTATTTTGAAGGATGGAAAAAACATTTTTGGTTATTCTGGCTGGGAAAACAAAACTGAGAAAAAGCAAGTTCCGCTAAATTATTAAGTCTTGTTTTATAAACGAATTTGAATTTTTTTTGTCGAGAAAACAAGAACAGGGGTGAGGCTGTCGCAATATCGATGGTTACTTTTGCCATGTTTATCAACATACTAGTTCTATTCCTATATTGGCAGGGTCATCACCAGTTGCAGAAACCTTTGAATTATTATTTCTTGACCGTTCAGTAACTAAATTAAAACAAATTGTAAGAAAACGTGAAAAAAAACAAGCGGTTGTCATATACAAAGCTTCCTGTTTCAACAAATATTTCAACCTTACAAAATAATTTATAAACACGCATTAAAACGGCATCACACGAACGATTCCCACAGAACAGTGGAAGGAAAATTAACTTAAGCTACTTTACCTATGATACACAAAATAGAAAAATGTTAAGTTACATACTTTTACCTTAATGCATACAACTAAGAATTTATTCAAATAATAACAAGACAAACATTTATATAGTTACAATGAACCAAAACACCACTACTCCGTTGATCATTTTGAAAGTATTAGCATTTCGTTATGATGGTAGCCTTGACAACGAGCCCCATTATTGAAAGCATCATGGATCATCCAAAGTAACAATCACAACAACAGTCGCACACTTTGAGTTAATCTAGATTGTAATAGATTTATTATCAACCACAATTTGAATCCCATTTGATGATAAAGACTTTAGAAATTAACGCCAATTTCTACTAAAGTGCGGGGAAAGTTTGTTTCATCGTTCGTAACAGGACACTCGAAACTGAATGGATTTTAAATTCTAAATATTACTTTCATCCAAGTCTGGAAACTTATTTTCAGAAAATATAAAGGACTATTTACAGAAAAAGAGGAGGCATCAAAGATTTTTGGTTCTTTTCTGGTACGTATTGGGGATCTTTCACTATATCATAGGAGAATATGACTTTCGGTAAGGAACAATTTTTGACCAGTTGAATGGAGCATAGTAAGATTTCGAAGCACCGTTTAAATCTTATAGAAAAAATATCAGTGCATATGCTTGTTTGGATCAAACAAAATCTTGACAGTTGATTTGACATGGGCCAGGAAGAGCCAAATACAGGAAGACTGGTTTTCTGAGTAAATACTTAACCGCATTAGCATACAACTTGTAAACATGAAAAATATACACTAAACAAATACCTAAAAATCTAAAATACAATAAAATTGGAATTTGCTAACTCCAATCTAAAACGAAATTAAAATGTATAATCATAATACTACAAGGCCCTAAAACGTATGACTCCTTTGAAACCAAGAGCTTATCGCAGAGCGTTCCAGCAATACATACGTGTGTTACCAACTACTGTACAGAGTTTTTATAGGTAACCCAATATAAAAGAGCCTTGGTTTGCTCTTTGTGTTATCTCAAACAAACGATGACGTCAACAATAATCTTGCGTTTATCTTCCATCACTTTAGCTCGCAAAAGAGCGCAGTATATCAATGTATTCTTCTCATTGCCAGGCTTGTCTATGCAAGTTCTGTGCTAGCTACGCAATCCGAATAGCTCTCAGTGTACGCGACTTTGAACACTTTAGCGCACGTTTCATTGACAATCCATTTCGTGGTATTGAGCTGGTAGCCAAAGCCGTCATCAAATACTCGAGGCAGTAGCACTTGCATGTAATACCTGGTTTACGAATTACTAGCAGCGTTCACCAATTTAGATGAATGCATTTAAAGTGCTATAGAAGCCTTCTAAGCAGGTGACAACCTGGCTGAAATGTGGTCGTTCTTCAGTTGCCAGTGCCCAGCAGCAAGCCATTACAGTGAACAGATCATCGGGGCAGTTTAGAGGTTGCGGCAAACGGAATCCCGCTTTCAAGTAACGTAGCATTTCAAATGGGTCAACATTTGCGTATGGCGTCTGGGCGAGTGTGGTAAGTTCCCAAAGAAGCACACCATAGGACCACTGGAAGGTTAAAGAGGTAGTGTATAATTAATGCTGCAATGTGGCAATTATTTATCACCTTTATTGTATTTCACTTAAGTGGCTTGGATGATAAACAAAACATTGAGGTTGGCCGTCAAACTGTCAAGGACATTTCAAATTTCCAAAAAGCAGATAACGCCATACATGATTTTATACATAAACCAAAAATTACAGTATTTAGATAGGAATGATGTGGATTTAAACAGGTATAAACGAAAATTAAAAATTAGCTATAAGAGCTTAAAACAAGTTACAAGTCCTTTTACTTCCCTGGTGCTAGCCTACATTACGACAATTCTCGTTTCTTAAGAGTTTTTAGAGATTATAAAAACAATTATACTTACCACGACGCTAGCGGGACTATAAGTATTAAACTCCAGACTTTCTACGGCCATCCACCGGACAGGTCGGTTCTCATTATCACCAAGACAATGATAGTCACCAGGAAAGAAATCTCGTGCCAATGCATTATCTGTTATTTTCACCCGGTACTCCTCGTCAGCCCTATGAAAACAAAATAACTTAACTTTACTCTTAAGTTAAACCTGACACAATTTTATACCTTTAAGTAGACGAACAAAAGTCATAACAAACACTACAAGGAATTAATACACTTTATATCACTTTATATCAAGTCAAAATCATCATTACACCTTTGGGGACGACATGACATTGCTCGTTGCACGGAATAACCAAGTTGAATGCTTTTATGTCAAAAATTCCTTAGATTAAATGTCCACTTTAATCCACCTTGATAACTGCGAAAACCAACGCTAACATTTTAAAGTTTGTTATAATTTGAGAGGCTAAAACAAGTTACAAAATTACTAGTTTTGTAGAAGAATCTTAAAATACGTCGAAATGTCTTCCTGAAGACATTTTGATACAGCCCTTTGGTCACATCACTTAAAAAACATCAACATTGGCGTTACCTCTACAAAACGTGCAAAAAGTACAATAGTACAAGAGTACAGAAAGAAACCTGTAAAACAAGAATGTCAGCAATGTGTTGAAGGTTAATGAAAGAAACTTACACACAATTCCTTGTTGCAACATCTTTATGGAATATTCTTCTTTTTACCAAATATTGTAAGCCACGCGCAATTTGTATTGCCATGAAAACAATATCTCTTGTTGTCAGAGTCTTCGATGCAAATAAGGAACAAACGTTATTCTCAGAAAATCATAGATAAAATATTATAATGAAAAGATACAACTTTGAAACTTTGGACCAGGAATTAAATACTAATTCATCGTTTATTGCCATGAAAACTTTATTGAAGGATTATACAAGAAAGCTTAAACACTAACTATCTTGCAAACAGCAAATTCTTAGAAATAAACCATTATTCACAAAAACAGGCTTTGGCCACTATCAATTTTCTAAAACTAAATCACTACGCTGACAGCAGTATCGACGCAGCAGGCCTTTAACTCAGCCGAGGGTTGGAGTGGGTGGTCAGCGACATTAGACTGGCAAAGAGGATAAACACGGATTCATATGGTTAGGGTATTGCAAATCGAAAGCCAGGGATTCTATTGAGATTAGATTTGCTGTGATGTTTTACAGTCAATTAAACACCTGTCTAAGTAATTACTTCACTGTTTAAGAAAAGCTGCATTATAACCAAAAAGAATAAAAACAATTTAAGATAGAGACAAACCTTTGTTAAAGGCTCCGCCGTTCGAGAGAGCCGCATGTAGTTCTTAAGATTGCCTCTATTCATGTAGGGAAGTATGACTTGTGGAGGCATTCCATCTTCAAGGACCACATGCATTACTGGTAGCACGTTTCTGTGGTTGGTCTTCTTCAAAAGACTGCTCTCAGTTAAAAACAGATTGACTTGCTCCGGCGAAGCTTGATCTGTAGAGGAATTTCGCAACATCAACAAGCGGGCTTGATGTAGAAATGTTTAATCAAATCAAATTTTGGGAAAGTTTAATGACAAATTTTTCACTTAACTTTTGCTAAATACACGAATTTTTTTTTCTACAATATAGGCTGCAGATTTTTGATTCAATATCTTGCATTTTAAAACACGGAGGATAATTGATTTCACAATCCCTCGCTCCCTTGCAAAACTTCATAATAATTCTTAGCTTTTGAAACAGGTTTTGAACATATTTCAATGAAGAGATTTGGATATACCATTTACTGTCTTGATAAAAACTTTTTGCTCTTCGCCACTTTCACTACTCAACAGTGATCCAACATAAACTCTTCCAAATGCGCCTGCAAACAGATACACAAAGTTTTACTTCTGATCATGCGATGAAACAACTTCTTACCTTTAATCATCTAGTATATGCATCACTGCACACAAAGGCATAAAATATCATATAAATAACACGAAATAATTTAACATATGAAATGATATGAAATGATATGAAATGATATGAAATGATATGAAATGACATGAAATGATATGAAATGATATGAAATGATATGAAAGGATATAAAATGATATGACATGAAATAACATAACATAACATACATAACATAACATAACATAACACACCATACATAACATAATATAACATAATATGATATAATAAAATAATATAATAACATAATTATAATATAATATCATAATATAATACCATATAATGTGAAAAAAGTTATTCAACAACAAAATATGCTGTTGGCTATAAAATTAAGAAAGCAAATCTCTTTTGAAGGAAAAGCTAACCCTATTTGACAGAAACAAGAAAAGAAGCTTAATATTAGATGAAAACTTGGATGATGATTTGCTTCTATGTTTGAAGAATTGGATTTGTGACCACATAAAATTTATCATAGCTAATACCTTGTACCCACAAGTAATTCATGACCTCTTGGCTTGGAGGTTGCCAGCAAAAAGATCTTTTGTGGTGTGTAAGCTTTAAGTTATGAACAGCTGAACCCTTACCCCTTTGTTCTTCAGTTAGAGAGATGACAGATTTTCAACATGATTAGTGCAACTAGCAGCACATGCATTTCTATTCATTCTTTGCAATTTTGGCAGCAGGTACCACACTAGGTTCTGTGTGATAGACTCTAAGCCTTTTGGCAAATGAAAACTTTTATGTAGCTACAAAGAGACTTGTTGAGAACTTCATTTTAACTGAGGGTTTTTCCAAGGGTTTCAAATATTGTATCTGGGTATGCTGCTGAAATTTTTTCAATTTGTTTCTAGGAAAAGCTGTTCAATTTTGAAAATCAATCAAAAGGAAGTCAGAAATCATTACTATTGAATATTGATTACATCAAGGCATCAACAGACAGACTGTTTACACACAGGGTGTGGTCTATGGTCTGAGGTACTGAGCTTTGCTGTATTCTTTGGGGTAATAACTTTATCTGAAATTTTGGTGAAAAGTAACATGGAAATTTTGAATGGCTTTGCAGGAAACTTGACAAATACTGTAAATTCTATTTTTAGCTCCCCAGAGGCCATATTTTTTCAGCATTTTAAAGGGGGGGGCTTATAAGAGAGGGGGGCTAAATTGAGAAAGGGTGCTTGTAATAAATATCTTGAAAAAAAACCACTTATATATAGAGGTAAACTAACTTTTTGTTTTTTGTGTAATAAAAAACATCAATTATCAATTCTAAAATATCTTCTTGGGCCATGTTGCCTTCAGTAATCGAGCATTCGAAAAGGTCAACTTCACCCCTCAGAGTACCAACAGCCTGTTTTTTTGGGAAAAGGCTCTCACATTGCCTGTACTTAATGCACATAAAATCTTTGTCTTTGGATCTGTCATGACTGGAAGAGACATGGTGTGAATTTCGATTTGATCTGAAGTATTGAACGACCAATGGATAAAATGAAAATCTCCGTTTTTTGTCATATTTACTTATTTCAGCATCAGTGAAAATATGGGGGGGGGCTAAATTGAGAGGAGGGCTAATTAAATTTTTCCTTCTGAAAAGGGGGCTAATAAGATAGGGGGCTTAATTTGAGAGGGGGCTTAAAAGAGAATTTACGGAAAGTAGCTTTCAAGAGCGTTGCAAAAATAAAAAGTAGCTTTATGTTCAGGGGCATATTTGACATAAGGGGTGTAAAATTCCAGTTTTCTCGTTGGTATAATCGCGGTACAGTAGGTGAAAAAATAAAACAGAGGAAGTTATCTTTTCCTGTAAAAGGCATAAAACGAAACATCCAAAACTTAGACTTGGAAATGAGCATAAGCACCTAGGACTGATTCTTGATTCAAAACTTGATTTCAAACGTCATAAGAGAGAGGCTATCCTAAAGGCACGCAGAGGAATTGGAATGATATAATATCTTTCAAATTACGTTTGTAGAGGGGTTCTTGACCAAATCTATAAGCTTTACGTTCGACTGCATTTGGATTATGGAGATATTATATACCATGAACACGACCCTGAAATGCACCATCATTTCACACCGAAGTTAATACAGACCCAATACCCTGCTGCTCTAGCTATCACAGGCGCTTGGAGAGGTACAAGTAGGCAAAGGCTCTATGACGAATTAGGGTGGGAAACCCTGTACAATCGTAGATGGTACCGAAGACTGTGCCATTTCTTTTCTCTGTGCAAAGCTAAAGCATAAGAATACCTTTATTTAGAGATACCTCAGCAGCGAAACCTGATTTATAATCTAAGAAACCCACATAGTTATGAACAGCCTACTGGAAGAACAATTCGGTACTCAAACTCGTATTTCCAAAATACCATACCTGAATGGAATCTTCTGGATAACAAAGTACGAAATTTTCCTTCGATTTCCCAGTTTAAAATAAATCTGCTTGCTATCATTAGGCCAATTAACAATCCTACCTACAACATTCGTGACATTCTGGGTATCAGACTTCTAACCATGCTTAGGGTTGAATTCAGCGCTTTGAATGGGCAAAGATTTAAAACACAACTTTGCCTGTTTAAGTCCAATGTGTGTCTGTGGCAATGGTAAAGAAGACAATGAGCATTTTCTCCTGCACTGCCCTCTATACAGCATGAAGCGCCAGGTTCTCTTTGACCAGCTCTCAGGTATCGATGGATTCAATGTTGCTGGTGTGAGGACTCAGTGACCTGGTGTCTTTCCTCGCCATGAATGTCACAGCTTAATTTAATTGTAGTTTTAGTAGTTTTAGTAGTTTTAGTTGTTGTTAATTGATATATAAAAAAAATTGGAGAAAAGAGCTCAAAGACTTCACTTTTCATTACCTTCCTGAACAACATTTCCTAATGTAAGCAGATTCTTTGAAATTTCAATATCCTTCATACGTGCACGGATGTCCTTCTTCTGCTTTTCAACTGAAAAATAAAAATTACAAATTTAAATAAAGCAATATTTCTGAAAACTATTTCAATAAATAAACATTAAAAACACATTTCTTTGCATTAGAGAAATAAATATCAAGATTCAAACTGCAACTTAATTTTCACAGAATCTCTAGGCAAAAAAGAAAGGGGAGAAAAACAAGATTATTCTTTCAATGAAAGTCAAACTTACCCTGGAAATTCAATGTTCCAACAGGATGGGAAATCCTTGATGTAGTACCATGCCCCTGACTAGTAGTATCACTAAAGAGAAAAGAAAGTAATCTCAAAAGTTAATTCTTTTTGATTTATCAAAGGAGATACTTAATTGCTGATCCATTGACAAAATACATTGACTAAAAGACTTTGTTGCAAGATAAAATGATGCAGACAAAAAGAAGATTGAAAGAAAATTGATTGGCATGCTTCAGTAGTGGAAAGTGTGCAAAGACTTAATTTTTCTTTGAAATCATTTGTGTGATTATATGAGATACTTTGGTTTTGTGTCTATTGTAAATTCTTATCTGAGAGAAACTATGGGACACAGGGGTGCAGGCATTATCAAAAAAGAGCAATGAACTATTTAACCAGGGGCTGACACTTGGTCAAATATTGGGGGAGGGGCAGGCCTATTGTTTTGATAAGATGACATCATATTATCAGATGGTTTTTTTAAATAGACCATTGTCTTCCAAAATATTGGGGGGGGGGGGAAGGTGACCACCTACTTGCCCCAAGGTTTCACCATTGTTTTTTATAAAACAATAACAAAATAGCTCTTTTACAAAGCTTCTGCCTACCCCTGTTGATCTGCCTGTCACTTGTTTAGATAACTGAGATATTTTTTTGCAAAGAAATGTGCAATCATGGGAAAGCTTCGCATATATAACTGGAGGTTTTCAGATAAATGGATGTTGACAGCAGGGCTGTCGAGAGACAGCTTGGGCCCAGGGGTGATTCACAAAACTGGACCCCCTTAAGGAAATTTTCTGTGGCCACCCCCTTCAGTGTCCCAGAGAACTAGGGAAAGCCCTTTTTAGTTAAATTGTTGAAAAAGTTTTTTAAGGATTTTTACAGGAAGGTGAAAAACATTTTACATGAATCAAGGACATGTGGACATAAGTTTTTCTCTGCGATAAACTTATAGGTGTTTATTCCTATGTTACTAAAATGTAGCTTTTTGCATTGTGAATAGATCTTACTACATTATGATGGGCCACTGGGTCCCATCTGAGCACAGGCCCTGGACCTTTTGCCACTCCTAACCCCCCTTTCAATGCCTCTGGTTGACAGCAATGAGTACTTGGAGAAACTAAAATTATGATTAGCTGTTTCAAATCTTCTTGATGAACTCTAATAAACATAAACCTTGAAATTCCAAACAACGAGAAGCAAGAACAATAAGTGCAATAAGTTACCTTTGTGACATATAATCTTTGAATTCTTTCCCTGGGTCAACATTTTTTGGCATCGATTGAACATGCAATGTAGCAACAGCAATGGCTATGATCAAAATCGTACTGCAGGCCACTCCCACTGCTATGTAAAACACGCTGGTCTTATCAATTTCTGCTGCACCTGAAGCGAGATTAAGATAGAATATAAGCAAATTTGTAAGGCTGAAGGTGATAAAAAGGCACAGAAAACATGCATATTGTTTAAGAAAAGTCTTATAAGATAAAAAGCACACAGAAACATTTAATTGCACCAGAAACTTTAATTAACTTTTCTTTTGAGCACACAATATTTAAACAACATATGAATCTTAAGTAAAAAAACCTTTGCCATCTCATTTAAGCAAAGCAGAATATTGGATCTTCAGTCCTTGTAATATTAGGCGTGGCATGTTTTTCATTGTATGCCCAGTTTGATGTTTTGAATTTCCATTCTTTTTCTCTTTTGTTTCTTGCTTGTATTTTTTAAAGTAATTTTTCATTTCTTTTGTGTGTGTTGTCCATTACTCCAAATTTTGTATATGTCTCCATATTTCTCTTTGTTCGAGCTCTTTTTGCTGAGATGGAATGACTCCTTTTCGAATGCTGTTCCAAATAAAACAATGCTCTTTAAAATGATTCCTCTGTCGAATGACTCAACTTTGAACAGTGTTTTTGAATTTTGAATGACTCCGGTTTGGTATCAGATGACTTAGTTTTTGAGAGTATCAATGTAACTCAAAATAGTATCTGTTCTCACACAAATACGGAGAAATTGTATGTTTTTTACTAAATTATTTTGTTTTCCAGAAACATCTTCAAAATTCCGTAAAAATTGTTTGGTTGAAAACTTTGCATATGCTTCTTCAAACAGTGTTACACCCCTTCAAATACATACATGGCATTTAAAATGCTATCAGGATTTCATAACGCCAACAAAATTCATAATACCAGGACTGGAACTGCAACAATTCAGAGCAAGAATTTTAGCATAAAATTCAAAATGGTAAGTCATATATGCCTTCCCTATCTATATAAACATAGCAAATACCTTTCTTGATTCTTTTCTTTGGGGTTTCTTTTGCTGGTGCTGGCTGGAAACCTAAAAAAATGTAAAATAGTTTATTATTATCTTTAATCCTTCTAATTCTTTATTCTTCTGTTTTTCTGCAATTACTTATCTAATTGTAAAGCAAATAAATCAAATAAACAAATGACATTTAAGTTATAGGAAAAATTATGATATTATTTTGGATTCATAAGTTTCAAAATTTGTCCATTCAAATTTTATTATAAAAATATCAAAGTGTCATAAATGTCAAATATCTTACAAATAAGTTTAAGGATAAAAATAGTTTCAGTTCAACAAATCAATGTGGAATTATAGCTACACCGACCTTTCCTGCAGATTTTGATAAACTTGAAGTCCAAGGTTCTGACATTATATTTCTCAGCTGTTTGATTGAAGTCAGTTAAAGTCAATCCAATTCGCACAGGAACATTTCCTTCTTTACCTTTGATGCACATCAACCCTATTGCAAAGCCTAAAGAGCAAGAGAAATTATTCAGACAATATTAAAGAAACATATGCTAAAAAAATTTCATAACTGTGGTTTCGGACATGGCTTCTCTCACATTGATCATGACTGAATTTACAAATGGGAATCAAAGAGGACAAATACTCCTTTTCCTTGCTTTCCCAAGACTCAAATTCAACAATAACTTAGTCATGAGCCTCAACCAATGAATGCAATCTTTTTCAACCAAAGCTAAGTACATAATCCAGAAGGTAGCAAATTAAATCTGAATACTGCAGGGCATGAAAACCTGCCCGACCATGTGACCGGGTGGTTGCAGGAAATTCATTCCTGCATAAAGTTCTGCAGGAAATATTTTACAAAATACCCTCTTGCAAGAAGTACATGTTTCTTTCATGTTCATCAAAAGGAAAAAACATGAAGACAAAAGTAATATATTTCATGCAGGTCCCTTGTACAGGTTAAATTGATTTTCCTACCTGAGAACCCTTGAGAATGTTTTTGAAAATATAGTCTTTTATCTGGCTTAAGAATATTCTCACCAGTTAGGAAAATAATATCATAGCTAAGTCCCTATTCCAGTTCAATTTAGTCGTTCATGGATAAAGAATAATTTTCAGTCACCAAAACAGAAATTGATTTTGTAGTGGTAGTAAAATTGCTTAAATCTTTATAATGTAGCTTCTCCTTTTACTTATAAAAAACAGGTGACACATCATTACAGTTGTTGGAACCTTACCCTTTTTTACGTTTACCTTCCCATTCTTGCAGAAAATTTATGCATGGTTTTTACTCCAGTCGCAGGGAGAAAAATAAATTTTCATGCCCTGCTGAATAGCAAAAAAACAGTTTCTAGCATGGGCAGCTTGGCCTTTTGGCTAGAAGCTTGCTAATAGCAACTTAAACTGTTTTCAGATCTAAAGCTCTGGGAAAGTTCCCTTTTACCATCCTTTTTGACTGATCCTGCTAATTTGCTTTAAAATGGTCTGAATTAATTGATTACAAACCTCACCGTTTCATGCAAATCAAACAGGTGGTCCCTTTGTGCTATAGTTTTGGTTTTAAACGCAACTTTGCATTTAAAAGAAGTTGCCTTTGTATTCTGATCAACACACGTTTTTGCTGCCCCAAAACATAAGATAAAACTGGACATTTAGCCCATAAGAAATTTTGCTATAAGATCTTGATCTCTGATAGCAATAGGCTATGTTCATTGCAGCAGAAACATCATTAGTTCATTTCAAAACAGAATAAAATTCAAATTTTCATTCATTTGAAATTGAAAACATTGATGGAAATACACTGACTTTAGATGAACAGTTGCCAAGGCTTTTACCTTTCAATTTAGTAAATGGTTTTTTCTCCTTCAACATTTAGTTTGGACAACAAGCAAATCCCTGACAAGGAACATCACCTTCAAGTGATCAATGCTTGAAAATTTAGTACCACACCCACAATTTCCATAAAAACAACAGTTTGTGATTGCTGTATAATCTTATAACTGCTTACTTGATGGCTTGTTTGGTATACTTCCACTCTTGGTTATATTAATAGATGGCTCAGGCAAAATTGTTATGTCTCCAGATGAAACATTGAAGGTATAAACAACAGTCTGGAGGGGCTTGGCTGGTACAAGCTGTAAAGATGATCTTAGATTAACAATTCTGTTATCACTGATGTAAGTAATGAAAGATGTGGCAAAAAGTAGCAATAACAATGATTAAAATTCAGATTAAAATTTCAATGTCTGTAGTACATTCTGTAGAATTGCTGCTTATAAGAAAATATTCACTTTTTCATTTAAAACAAGTTTTTAAATTGTATGTATATAAAATCCTAACTTCAATGATGTTGCTAAAATAATCAATATCTCCAAAAATTTAAAAATTAAAACCAGACAAAATGAGATATAAAACAAAGTTGTGCACTTTAAATAAATAGACAAGTCTTGCCTCTGATTGCCTTAAGCGAAATGGTCCCAAGAAGTTCTGCCATGTAAATACAATTTTGTTGACATCAAATGGCACTGGGAGATCATAATTTATAGCATTGGTATTGGCTTTTCCATCACGAATATAGCTTATTTCACTTTCCAGACCTAAGGGAACAAATGAATAAACAATAAATGTTTTATAAATATAAATATATTATAAATATTAGTGAAATTTTTTCACTGCAGCAGCAAGTTCCGGTCAACTCTAAAGAAATATCTAAATATTTGAAACAAAGTAACATGTGACCAAACGGTCCAAACAATATGAATTTTTCAGTATAAACTAATTTAAAGATGAATATTTCAATTTTGAAGTCCATTTTCGAAAAAGATCCGTAGATAGCGAGATACAAAATTGATGACGTCAATTTGAATCCATCAATAAGAAGTAATTTGTTACTTTTTGCAACAGAATCTAATTCCCTTCAGCTCTGTAGCACAATATCACTGTGCTAAACATAGTTTTGATTATTTTCAATGTAATGTAATTATATTCCTTTGCGTATTTTTATTCCTTTCAAATTGTCTAACATATTGTGAAGTGTGTAAAACTGTTAAATTTCTTATTCATAATTTAAATTTCCTGTTTGAAAAATGATTTAGCCTACGATTTCCTTTGACCAATGGTTACTCGGTCACGGGGAAAATAAAATCAACGAAAAAATTGTTACAATTTGCATTCTTCAGAGGAAACTTTACAATATAAGGGAATGAATAAGAAAATAATATCTAATTGTTTTCTGAATACATTGCAAGAGAAGGGGAAGAAATCTCTTTACAAATCACTAAAAGCATCCGACGCCGGAATCCTGGTCTTTGAGCAATAAGCAGAGAATGGGTGGTAGTCATGTGTTGTTTTGAATTCCTTTATAAATCAAAGAAAATTTAGATGATGGTAGGTGGTCAGTTGGTCATAATAACTAGATAATCATAATTTTACGATAGTTTCGATTTAAATTTTAGGCATATAAATTCATCTCCACTAGCTTACAAGTCTGCAAAAATATGTGAATGTAATCACGATTGAAACGCCGTTGATTTGAAGTGGTCTTGATCAGTAGATTAGGCTGTTAGGCCACAATATGTCTTGTCGTTTTACCATGATCGCTTTGATATGGGCAATATTTTGCGAGATTATAAACTTACCGATGATCTCCTTCGTTTGATCAGTCAGGTGATAAGAAAAGGGTTTATTTGTGCTGAAGCGTTTGGAAGCCAGAAACAGGAGCCAAAAAACTGTGTTCCCATTGAAATGTCGCCGTGTGATCACCCATTTTGATTGCCTACTGGAACTGATTGCGCTTGTTTGCGCCTCATTTGTCTGTATCCACAGGAAATCCGACGGTCTCAAAGTCTTTATATTTACCCCCTGAGAGAAACTCTTTGCCGTGTAAACTCATACTATTTAAAGGTTGAAATGGGGGGACTCAATTGTTCTAGGCCTCATGAGTGAGGCAGCAGCGTTAAGGTTATCAAAGTAAGAAAACTTTATTTGAAGGGAGAGAGCAAATTTAGTGAGAACCTTAATATAACAGGAGGGTTGTTAAACCTGTACCATTAAATGAAGCGGCGGCACAAGGACATCGCACCCAAACCCTGCCAATTTCCTTTGAACTTCGTAAAATTGTTTGGGAATCTGAGCTATTTTAGTGTGGTTTTTCCCACATTTTGTGGTCTTGGAAATTCCAATTGTGGTCTTGAAAATTCAAAATTGTGGAATGGGCTTTTTCATGTCAGTCAAAGATGAGAACATAGTAATTCGAACAGCCCTCGCAGGACCGTAGCAGCTAAGCCACATTCTGGCAGACGTTGAACGTGTTGATAGCACATACCACAAAATAAAACAAAGACCGTGCCTCCCTGTCTTCCGCAAACGTATG